CCCTAACTCCCGAAGCCTAAGCCCAGCACGCTAAGACCAGACCTGAACCCTGAACAGAGCGCACATTACCGGATCACGCCTCGGGTGGGGCGTTTTTCGCCTCTTCCCGGGCCTGCCGCGATAGATAAGAGCGGGGAACTTTTGGGGTCTAGGGTTTGGGGCTTGGCATTTGTAATACTATATAATAGTACCATATACTATAATATAATACAGTATATATGCAATACAGCATGCTAATATACATATATATATATATATATACACACTCATACATATGTTATATATGTATACTATATATATATATATATATCATGTTGTGGAATGTAAACATAACATATACGGAACATTGAATAAGACCCAACGACGGCGCTTTCAGGCTGTGCCTTGCAATTAGTTAACTGTATCCATTCTAGAGTCTGTGGGAGCCGCACAACCCCAAACCCTAAACACTAACCTTAAATCCTAAACCTTAAACCGCCCAACGGTTTAACTTAGGGTTTAGGGTTATACGAGCCACAACAGCTAGAAATCCTGGCCGTCAGGCTCTAAAGTTGTCGGTTCAAGCCCAACCTCCCCCTAAGTGCTGCAACCCGGTCCCCACCAGTGTCAGAAACCCTGAACCCTAAACATCCCTAAACCCTAAACCCTCAACCCTGAACCCTAAACCACCCTCCCGGACCTTCTCCCCAGTTATCAGGTGGTCGAACTCCCTGAGCTGATCCAGCTCCTCCTTCCTGCAAAAAGAGGCGCTGGAGCTTCGAGTTTAGGGTTTAGGGTTTAGGGGTTTAGGCGTTTAGGGTTTGGGGTTTTAGGGTTTAGGGTTTAGGGTTTAGGATTGGGGGCTTAGGACTCCGTTTATATAACCTGTCAGGGTTCCCTGTAGTATTCCGTTTAGGGTTCCCTTTTCGGGGTTACTATAAGGATTAGTCTACAGGGCTTTAGGGATTAGGGGTTAGTGCCCTAGGCTTTTGGGTTCAGAGGTTCGGGGTTTAGGGTCTAGGGTCTGGGGGTTTAGGTCTTGAGGCCTTCGGAGGCCAACAGGGTTTAGGGTTTAGGGTTTAGGGTTTAGGGTTCAGGATCTAGCGCCGTGGCGATATTCCGTAGACTCCACGACTGTAAGGTCTTCACCGTACAGTAGAAGCCAGAAAGCTGGAACATTGTTATCCTAACCCTAAACCCTCAGCCCTAAACCCTAAACCCCTAAACCCTAAACCCTAAACCCTCAGCCCTAAACCCTAAACCCTAATGCCCTACAGGTAAAGTATAGAGGATCCTAGCACTAATCATGGGTCTCAGGTGCTGAAAACAAACACGACAAACCTTGAACGGGAGTTAGGGTTTAGGATTTAGGGCCATTTAGGGAGTTAGGGTTTAGGATTTTTAGGACCATTTAGGGTTTAGGATTTAGGGCTTAGTTTAAGGGCTGTAAGCCCCAAGCTCCTAGCAAGTTTTGGTAGCTGAGTAGGTGGGGCTCCAAGGGTCCTATCATAAACTCAAAAACACCCCCCCCCTTCATCCCTTAACGCCTAAGCCCCAAACCCTTCGTTGGCCAGGGAACCCGATACTAGTCCGTAGGGCTCCGTATTGCAATGATCGAAAACCTAGCCCAAAGCCAAACCTAAAACCCTCATCCCCCAATCCTAAACCCTAATTGTGACTGCCTGTCAGACTGAGTTCATGGCAGGTGTCATCTTTGGTTGGATGCTTTTAGTTTCACGCTGAAGGTCGGAGGGGCCAGCGACGAGGCAGATAGTCAAAGGGGTGCAGTACAGTTTAAAGAATTCTGAAAGCATCTAGAGTGAATCCCAAGTCACTTGACTCCCATACTCTGCTGATTCCAGGGCTTAGGCATTCAGGCTTCAGGGTTTAGTAGGGCTTAGGGGCTTAGGGCTCAGGGAAGCCCTGCATGCACTCACCGGCATAAGATTAGGCCCAAATCAGTCACAGATTATAGGTCTTTCGTGATACCCCAAGGTACATCCCTGCACCGTAAAACCCTAAAAACCCAACAAAACACAGCATTTGCGCTAGCTTCACTGCTCCAAAACGCGGCGGGCGCTGCAAGCTATAGGGTCTGGACCGACGCCCCAAGGATGCCCTAAACCCTGAACCCTATACCCTAAACCCTAAACCCTATACCACCCCAAACTCCTGATCCTTAACCCCCAAAGGCCCCTAAACCCGAAAGCCTCAACTCTAAGCCCTGCATCCCTCATGGGCTGAGCCCCATAATCCCCTCCCGAAACCGGAAACCGAAACTCCTAAACCCTGGACCCTGAAGCTACAGAGTTTAGGGTTTAGGGTTTAGGGTTTAGGGTTTAGGGCCCAAAACCCCTTAAGCCACAGATCCCCCCGAGGCCCAATTCCTGATCCAACTTCCTGGACCCAACGTCCGGAAGTCCTCAAAAAATCGCTGGGGATCCCTCATCCTAGGGGTCCATGTGCGCTCATGTCGGGCGTCTAGGGTTTAGGGTTTAGGGTGTAATTTTAAAGTTACCACACCGGAACCTTTACGGCCTAAGTATGTGCTTCATAGGTCCGCGGCCCGAAGAGTATGACCCTGAACCCCCCCTCCCAAAGCCGAGAGCGGCAGTCACCCAGGGTCCAGCAGAAAGCCGTCCGAGACAGAGGGCCAATGAACTCTTGAACCTGCAAAACATACAGCCGAAGGGTCTAGGGTGTACTTTGTATAAAGAGCCGTATATTTACCAAAATAAGGCGTTGGTGTGTGGTAGACTGCATTTGTATAGCGACGCTGAGGTCATCTTACTGCTACTGGAAGTTCTGCAAACTCCCATACTAAGGAGGTTTGGAGCCGAGCGGTTGCAAAGCCATTGTTAGGGTTTAGGGTTTAGGGTTTAGGGTTTAGGGTTTAAGAGGGTGTTCCAAGTTTCCAGCGGGTCATAAACTGTAGACTAGACCTCTGATTTAATGAACCCCGCTGCCCTTCATATGGAAACCCTAAACCCTAAACCCTAACCCCTTCCTTAAGGACCCCAAACTATGAGGGCCCTACGGAAACCCTAAACCCTTAAGGACCCTAAACTATGAGGACCCTAAAGGGCTGTTAAACAAAGCAGGAGCACCAACTATCAGACCACGGCCTTCAAAACCTCAAGCCCTAAACCCTAAACCCTGAACCAACAACTCTAAACCCTAGATCTTAAACCCCAAATCTTAAGCCCTAAATCCTAAACCAAAAACTCCAAACCGTAAAAGTTAAACCCTGAACCAACAACTCTAAACCCTAAACCTTACACCCTAAGCCAAAAACGCTAAACCTTCAAACTTTAACCCCCAAGCCACCAGGGCACCTTGCCCTAAACCCTAAACCCTAAACCCTGAACCCTAAACCCTAAACCAGGGCACCTTGAGCGGCCGGTTCTTCAGCTGCTGCACCCGTCGCGCCGTCAGCACACGGTCGACCTGTTCGTTTCCAGGAGTCCCTCAAGGGTAGGGCTTTAGGGGTTTAGGGGTTTAGGGTTTAGGGTATAGGGTTTAGGGTTTAGGGTTTAATTAGGGTTTAATTAGGGTTTAGGGTTTAGGGGTTTAGGGTTTAGGGTTTAGGGGTTTAGGGTTTTGGGTTTTGGGTTTTGGGTTTAGAGTTTAGGGTTTAGGGTGGCTTCTTCTAAGGGTTCCTGGCGGTTCAAGGCTCCTTTTTGTTTTGGGTTGAAGTTCTTTTCAGGGTTCTGCTGAGACCGTACACCCAACCCATAGGCCCTAAAGTAGTTCCTTTTGGGTGTTCATAGAATCCTATGAGGTAACCCTAAAAAGGAACTACTATGGGGCCTATACCTAAACCTTCTCGTTAGGGCTTGTGTGGGCTCTGTGCCGTGGGTGTTAAGCCCATAAATCCTGAAACCTAGACCCTTAACCCTAAACTCTTAAACCCTAAACCCCTAAATCCTAAACCCGAAAGTAGGATTTGTCGGAGCTCTGATATATTATGCAAGCATCATGCCCAAGAACCTCGGTCAAATACAGTCTTGAGCTTACGGTGCCGAATCCCAAACCATATCCTGGTTGCATTTGCGAACAAGTTGCTTACAGTTGCGACGGACGTTAACAGCAAAAGATGAGCGTTATCACCACAACCATAATTTATGTCATCGATGCGACAGTCGTCACTGGTTTACGTTTGCCGGCGTACCTCGCAAAGGGACCATACTATATTCAGTCTCTTCGAAATGTCATCATTATCCCCAGCTGCTGTCCGAAGCTTACCTTTTGTGTCTGTGTGCGTGCACGAAGTCGGCGTTACACATAGACACAAAGCTATAAAATGTAATCCGTACATGCATATATATATATATATACACATGCATATCTATAACTATGTCTGTACCTATGTCTATCTCTCTCTCTACATGAGATTTACATCTATATTTAGATCTCTAAAACATATCTGTGTCTATATATGCACGCATGTCTATCTATATGTTATACATTTACACTTATCTTCGTTTTTATACATATATAGATGTATGTATGTGTGTACATGTATGTATATATATATATATAGAGAGAGAGAGAGAGAGGGAGATACCTCTATCTGCCTGTGCCTGTTTGATCTTGCGCTTGTGTGACAATTTGCGTGGTAGCCTTGTTCCTCGGCAAGTCTGTGTCCGTTTATACATTCCGTCTAGCGCTCCATATCGTTGCATATATATATATATACACATAGATATAGATATAGATATACACACATGCTCGTATGTATGTATGTATGTATGTATGTATGTATGTATGTATGTATGTGTGTATGCCAGTGTATATGTATGTGTATATATGCAGACACACATACATACATACATACATACATACATACATACATACATACATACATGCATACATGCATACATAGATACATACATGCACATAAACAGATACAAAGCACATACACATACTGCATACATGGAATTTGAACGTCTAAAGTTTTACACCCTGATCCCTCTGTGGCCCACCTCCCAAAGCCCCCCAACACAGCCACACGGCCCGAGGACGTGCAACAGATCTTCGGCTCAGCCTTGAAGAAGGCGCCTCAGGGATCGTCTTTTGTTTCGTATCTCATTGCAAGGTCATTCCCCGTTATTATAGGAAGCCCAGAGCCGGCGAAGCCCAAGTAGAATTATGTAACCCTAGACCCCGGACCCTAATACCTGATACCCTAATGCCCTAAACCCTAATACCCCTAAACCCTCTGTAGCCCTGCTTCGATACTCCCTGGAGCCCTGGAGCCCTGGCGAGGACCGGCAGGCTGCGGCAAGCTTCCTCCAGCAGATGGGCATCCGGTCATCAGGCAGAGCCTGCGTTGTCATGATGGGTTTAGGGTTTAGGGTTTGGGTCATGGTGATGTCGTCCTTGTTGCTGCTACGGTTGTTATATATTTGTTACGGATGATGGTGGCTGTGTGGGTTTATTGAGTGATTTTCATGGGTTGTGTCCCGTGGTTGTTTTGCTGCTGTCGTGCGGGGCGAGCCTGTGCAGTCATAGCGCTGAGCGCTCGGAGCTTTGGGACCCTAACCCTAAAGGAATGGACAGAGAGTCCTTGCTGGGTAGGGGTACGGGTGCATAGGGCCTAGGGTTTCGAGAAACCCCAAACCCTCAAACACCAAGCTTTTACGCCAAATCCCTAGCCCCTGAGTCAAAGCCCTAGCCCCTGATTAGAACCTTCGACGGCCCTAAACCCAACATCCGCAAAGCCGCAAACCCCACAGAGGAGGCCCTTGTCCGCTTCAGTGCCTTGTGCTTTCCGTCGGCTGAAGATTTTTTCTCCGCTAACCGAGATTGAAAGGGTTCAGGGTTTTGGGGCTCCGCATGGTTTTCTACAACTACCCTGAACCCTACACCCTACATAAGGCCTAAGGAGGTACCTGGGTCTGGGGTTTAGGGGTTAGGGGTTTTGAGCTTAGGGTTTAAGTGTGTCTGGGGTTTAGAGTGTTTGCGTTGTAGAGCTTCGGAATGACAGGGGCCTGAGGGTTAAGATAAAGGCCGTAGTAAATTGTCATACTGTTTCTGTGTCCCAGTATCAACTGTAGTATGATATACCCACAAATCCTGTTCTAACTGTTGAGGCCCGTATATGGGTGGTTCTCTAAATTAGGGTCCCTTTTGGGGTCCTTATTATAATACGGCACCTATTATTTAGGGTACCCCAAGAGGGACCATAATTTTGACAACTACCCATATAAGTGGTTCAGGGTCGACCGAAGCTGCTGCCCATATGCGGGCGCTTCGCAGGCAGCGCGCCTGAGATGATCATCAGGGAGGTCACGAAGGCAGGGTGCGGCAGAGGGCATCCAACGCAACCCCCAAGACCAAAACCCCAAGACCAAAAAAACCCTAAACCTTGAAAAACAACACCCTAAACACACCCTCCCAAAAAAGCCCCAAGCCCCAAACCCTGGCACCCCAACCTTCCAAACTTGAATTCATCAACCCGCGCACTCGCAGCCATGTCGCACCCTTTGTCGTACTCTTTATCTTTACGTCCTACGGTTGATGGACAAAAATTCTGCATGACCCAAAAATAGTATAGTACAATAAATCATAATAAATCCCATAGTTTAACTATACAGGGTCATGCAGGATTTTGTCCATCAACAGTATGTCACCCTGAACCTGAACCCTCGAAAATTCCATGTCGAAGCCCCGCAAACCCGGATCTCAGGTCTTCACCTACATCGGCTTCCGTGTCGGTGGACTGGGCCTCTTTTCTGCACTCCTAGTCTCTGCTTTTTGGGACTACATGGTTTGCGAAGGGATTCGAGATCGAAGGCTTTAGGGCTTTCTGAACATCCTTGCGGTTCTACGGTTTGGGCTTTGGGCTCTGAGGGTTCATAGGTCTTCAAGGTAGCATCAACATAGAAGGAGAAGCAAGATAGGGTTTAGGGTAGCAATACTGAATCATCAAGACGGTGACTGACATCATCATTCAACTACTTGCATCTCTATCTTCTTAACTTCAACCTCCTGGTTGTCGCCGTCAGCAGTGTAAGCAACAAGGATCTGAAGAATAACAGCAAGAATAGTCCTGTTTACAAGTACCTCTTAGAGCAATTTTCGAAGCACTAGCACAAGAACGTCAGCAGACAATAGGATTTCGTGGACCAGCAAAGGCTATGGGCCTCGCTTCCGATGCTTGAATCCAACCCACGTCGCTGGCGTAGAGGCGCCTGCAGGGAAGAGATGCTTGGATTCAGGAGACGGTATGAGCAAAAAGGCCGCAGGGTCTGACGATCTTGCCCCAGATAGATCTGGTTTCAGGTATCAGTGTAGAGGGGAGTTGCTGAAGGTTCTGCCCAGTGGTTTCGGCGGTACTCATAAAGGCCCCTCATCCAACCTTCCAAAGCATACTGGTGCCACAAACAGCGGGCGAAGTGGTTCAGGTACTGTAGCAGCCTAAACCCTAAACCCTAAACCCTAAACCCGGAACACTTACTTCGGGTTCCTTCTGAAAGCTGTAGTACACCCCAAAACCTGCTTCGAGTCGTTAAGGCCCCTGTGCTACGTGCATACTACACTCCCGAGCTCGGTGCTTGGTAGCCCGGTATTCACAACATGCCCAAACCCTCAACCCCTAAACCCTCAACCCTCAACCCTAAACCCTAAACCCTCGACCCTAAACCCTCAACGCCAGATCCTAAACTCTCTGCCCTGGGCCCACATGCCCGGGTCTGGGCCCCAAACCCTCAGCCCCGAGCCCGAAACCCCCGAAACCCGAAACCTTCCAGCCGAGACCCCAAGTCCCGACGCCCCAAACCCTAAACCCTAAAACCCTAAAACCCTAAACCCTAAACCCTAAACCCAAAAAAACCTAAACCCTAAAACAAACCCCCAAGCCGGCAGGGTGATTTGGCGTCGCTGAAGGCCGTCGCATGCCTGCAAATCTCGGACGAGGCAAAAGCTGCCTTGGGAGGGTTTGAAGGGGCGTAAGGGTTTAGGGGTTTAAGGGTTTAAGGCTTTAAAGGTTTAAGGGTTTGAGGATTTAAGGGTCTAAGGCTTTCAAGGGTTGAGGGTTGAAGGGTCCGGCAGGCTGATGGAGCATGGAAGTGAGTAAACAATTCAAGGTCCACGCATTAGGCAATTTCTGTGCAGCTCTCCATACAAGAATGCTCCACAGGAGCAGTCCCCGGCCACCACCTTTTGCAGCCAATTGCTCCGACCAAGAAAAATAAAGCTGCACCTCACACTAATTAGCAGCAGCCGCACAGCCATATGCCAGTCATCATCGCCATAATCGTCAGCATCATCACCATCATCCATTGTCCATCATCGTCATCGTCATCGTCATCGTCATCGTCATCGTCATCGTCATCGTCATCGTCATCGTAATCATCATCATCATCATCATCATCATCGCCATCATCGTCATCACCATCGACATCATCATCATCATCATCATCATCATCATCACCATCATCACCATCATCATCATCATCACCATCATCACCATCACCATCATCACCATCATAATCATCATCATCATCATCAGGAACATCATCATCGTCGTCATGGTCATCATCATCATCGTCGTCATCGTCATCACCATCATTATCACCATCATCATCACCACCATCACCATCACCATCACCGTCATCATCATCATCATCATCATCATCATCATCACCATCACCGACAACATCATCATCACCATCATCATCATCATCATCACCGCCACCACCATTACCATCATCATCATCATCATCCTCAATATCATCATCATCATCATCATCATCATCATCATCGCCAGCATCACCACCATCACCATCACCACCACCACCATCACCACCACCACCATCACCACCACCACCATCACCACCACCACCACCATCAGCATCAACATCAGCATCATCATCATCATCATCAACATCATCTTCATCCTCATGATCCATCACCATTATCATCACCATCACCATCATCACCATCAGCATCACCATCAACATCACCGACAACATCACCATTACCATCACCTTCAAAATTATCACCATCAGCATCCGTATCAGTAGCAGCATATGCGTCGGGAGCTCAAACAGCTGTATGAGAAGCATCGTCATGGCCTCTGTCGCCTGTGTTCCTGGCATTCTGGTCAGCCAGGCCATCTCTCCGCAGCTAAATCCCGCTTACTATAGGGTATAATGCGGGGCTAAGGCTGGGCTCCTCCAGTATCTCCTCCAGCTTGAACTTCTCCGTCTCATAAGCCAGGCGTGCGGCCTGTTGCCGTCTGTTTCTTCAGGTTCGCGTTGTACGGGTCATTCATTAGCACACCCGACGGACCCGACATCCGACAGCACGACAGCACCGGCCCACATAAACTATGCAATCCTAGATACACAGCAAATCAGATTCGGGAGCACACTGTAGCGACAAGCACCCGCAGAGGCAGTCTTGGAATTCATCAGGGCAACGCAACGGCTTCTATAAAAGCAGAACTCGCGGACCTTCACCTTCAATGCTGAACTGAGAGTCCCACAGCCCGGTTTGTGAGCGTGATGTAGCTGTCTGGATTGCGCTCCAGGGTGCGATCGTAGCACTTCACGGCCTCTGGTGGTTCATTCTTGTTGGAAGATCTAAGAATCTAGATTGCGCCGGCTTTGAATCGGGCGTCCTATAGTGATGATGAGAACAACCAGGCACTAGCACAGGAACAGGATAAGGAGGAGGAGGAGGAGGAGTAGCAGTAGTAGTAGCAGTAGCAGTACTANNACCACCACCACCACCACTACTACTGTGTGCCGGGAATTTAGAACCACTACAGGGTGCAACCTGACCACCAATCTTGTCATCTCGGCCATCTTGGTCTGCATGGTATACTAGTCACTAGTCGGGCAAGTGGGGCAAGAGGACCAAGATTGCACAAATGACCTGGTCATCTTGACCCTCCAAGAGAACCAAGATGACCAGGGCAGCGAGCAAGATGACCAAGCTGATAAGACTGCAAAATAACCAACATCCAAGATTACCGGCAACCTTAGTCACTAAGTGGTTCTAAATTCCGGGCACAGTCGACTCCTACTACTGCTACTGCTACT